ACTACTACTACTACTACTACCACTACCACTGCTACTACCACTACCACTACCACTACCACTACCACTACCACTACCACTACCACTTCAGGTATATAAACATACATAATAACATGCCAGCATATAAACATACAAATAACACGACAGTATAAAAAACATACATAATAACACGACAGTGTATAAACACACAAAATAACATGACTGTATAAACACACATAATGACATGACAGCATATATACATACGTAATAACAGGACTTAATTAATACACCAGTTCTTACAGGCCGCAGGGTGTAGACCATGTGACGTGCTGGATGTCTGAGGCAGTTGCGGAAGCTGCAGGAATGTGTTGATGGCGGACAGTTGGTTACTTCCGACCTGCTTTCTCCAGCGCGCTCTTCTGTTGCTGAACCACACCTGTGAAGAGACAGTTCACGTAGTTTTGTTACTAGACTTTTTTATTATTTTTTTTGTCATGAATCAAGTGATAATTCACCTCTTTTTGTTATACTTTGAATTAATAAAATGGCGTTTCTAGTAGGCCTACTTTTTGTTATTTATTGTTTTGTTTGTTTTTGCTATAATAAAGTGGTTATTCGCGGTTGTTGGTTTTTTGGGTTGTTGTTGTTTTTGTTTTTTAGGTGTTTTTTTGGAGTGGAGGTTTTGTTGTTTTTGTTGGGGATTTTATTAATAAGGTGATGATTCACCTACTTTTGCTATTTGAATTAATAAAGTGATGATTCACCTACTTTTGCTATTTGAATTAATAAAGTGATGATTCACCTATTTTTGTTATTTGAATTAATAACGTGAAAATTATTCACTTTTTTTTGTAATTTGAATTAATAATGTGACAATTTACTTACATTTGTTATTTGAATTAAAAGTGAGATAGATCACGAAGGTTTTTTAAAATTTGAATTAACAAAGTGACTATTCAAGTACTCTTGCTATTTGAATTTGTTAAGTAAAATGTCTGTGTAAGTGTTTGACACCCCTTTCAACATTGTTAGGTTATTTAAAAGGCGGAATTCCGTATTTGAAACCCATTTTTATTAAGACTGTTTGAATTTGTGCTATAACTAATTAATCTTTGCCGTATCTTATCTGTCGTAATTTACCTTTTTTTTGTCCTATCATATAGTAACTTAATCCTCTTTTCTCGTGTTATTTTATCGGGGGGGGGGGGGGGGGGGTCAACCTAACTGGTCTTAACTTCACGTTTTGTTTTGACCTATTCTATCTCTTCATATTTTACCATGTTGCAACATACCGTATTACTTCTATCTTTTCCTATCTAATTTTCTTATTTCATCTGACCCTACTTTACAGCGTCTCATCTAAACACTTTGTTGGTTTTTTTAACCTTATCTTATATATCATCTTATCGCAACTCCTTCCAACACCTACATGTGCCCTCAGCTTAATGAGCGGTGTCCATATTTCATCCTCTCTTATCTTATCCCATTTTATCTCATCCTATCTTTTCCTATTATCCTATATTTTCCTGTTTTGCCCTATGTTATCTCCTCCCAACAATACGTACCTGTACCCTCACCCTTGTGAGCTTGGTTCTTATCTTATCTTATCTTATTTTGTCTTATCTTATCATGTCGTGTCTTACTTATCTTGTCGTGCCTTATCGTACCTTTTCGTACCGAGTTTTATCTTGTCTTGTCTTGTCTTATCTTACCTAATCGTATCTTATCTTATCTTCTCTGATCTGATCTGATCTGATCTGATCTGATCTGATCTGATCTGATCTGATCTGATCTGATCTGATTTGATCTGATCTGATCTGATCTTATATTATCTTACACACCCCCACCCCGCTCCCCCAAGCACCACCCACCTGTACTCTGGCCTCCGTGAGCTTGGTCCTCTGTGCCAGCTCCTCCCTGGTGTAGATGTCCGGATAGTGGGTCCTCTCAAACGCCCTCTCCAGGTCCTCCAGCTGCTCGTTACTGAACGACGTACGGCTACGTCTCTGCTTACGCTTAAGCTCCAGGCCCGGCTCGGACTCACAGTCGGAGTAGTCTGGAGAGTACAGTAAGGGCGCTACGTTAGTTCGGTTGGTAGTATGCTGGATTACTATGGAGAGGATGGTTGTTGTTTGAATCCTACACTGGACGTTTCTGAACTTGCGTCGTTTTGTGGAGTTTTCAAGGCTCTTGACCCATTTGGTTCGGTCCTATCGGAGACGGGAGTTAAATTCGTTGGTCCCACCTCTTACATAACATAATAGCGTTGATAGGGGCGTCTGTTTGCTATGTTGTGGCATCCCTCCTAGTTAAGGTAGGCTCTGAAAAACAGGGTCGAAACAGCCCGCCTCCTAAATGATTTATACTGTGTAGATAAGGGCGTAAAACATCACTGCCCGTATTCAATAATTGCATCACAGAGGAAGTTTGAAGCTAATTAATGAACATGTTTCCTGGCACAACATCGAGCAGGGTATTCCGAAAAGTACAGGTTGGATTTAGAGTGCCCGTACCAAGTAAAGTTGAGCCTCCCCTTTTGAACTGCTTGACCTCGTTCGCAGCACCCACCTTCGCCGAGACGAGCGGTTTTTTTGTTTTGCTTTGTTTTGTTTGTTTGTTGTTGTTGTTTTGGGTTTTTTTGGGGGGTGTCTCATTTGGGTTGCTGTTACATGTTTGTATCACATGAACAGGAAACAGAGCGCGGTAATGTCGTGATGTGTGAAAATGACTTTGTGAAAAAAAGGGGAGGGGGGTAAATTTACCTTGTTATTTTAGTTTAGGCGGTACGTCTCAACTCAGTGCTTGTCGTCAACTGTTTTTTTTTCCAGCCAGCGCCCACTTTTGTCGCGTTTATGTGGCTGAAATTTCCGACTCACTCATTTGCATATGTTTCCAAACCGGCATTAGATAATACTTGTCGCCGCCAGAATCAACAAATTGCACACTAGCGGCCTCTACAGTCCATGTCGACAAGCACGCAGTATCTTAACTGATTGTGTTTTTGACAAGTTTCTGCTATTTTGTCTTTTTTCCCCTTTTTTTCTAACTTTATTTTACGTTTTCCAAGCTGTGATTACTTTGTAGTGGTCTTTGTCTGACACCAGTACGTGATGCGAGTGTGACCCGTATCATACTGCCAGATATTAGATAACTTGGGGTGCTTCTTATTTTTTTCTTTTTTTTAAATTGGTAAGTGTTTTACGGCACTCACAACTGCATAAGGACATATGAGCGCGCGGGACACATTAAGCATTTTCAGTCGGTAGGAAATTTTGAATTTTGCCCAGGTGGCGGCCGAAGCCTATTCTTATCGATTTTGGACCTCCAAGGAATTTTAACGTGCGCAACTTGCACACCGGACCTCCGAGATTTTTCATCCTTGTCCGAGAAGGATAGGTGTAGATCTTTCCTAACAGAAGATCAGGAGTGTGGACGAAAGACAGCAGAAAGAAGGAGCCAAGGAGAAGCAGTAGAAAGGTTGCAGAACGAGTCAGGAGCCCAGACAGGGGGCAAAGAAGGTGAGGGGGTGGGGGCAGAAAGTGGACACGAAAGCAGACGACAGAACATTGCTAGAGAGCAGGAAAGGAGGTGAAAGGAGACAATTTTAGAGAATAAAATATTTTGGGCGCTACCCGGATTCGAACCCGGGACCTTTGAATGAGAGGTGAAAACCTTAACCTCTAGGCCATGAGAGCCCCCTGGGTTTGTTCTGTTGTCGTTTTTGTTGCTGCTTTTCACGTATTTCTTCTTCTGGTTTATTTTGTTTGTTTGGGAGGGGGCGGTTGTTGCTATATTGGTTTGTTTGGTTGTTTATTTGTTTGTCTATTTGGTTGGGTGGTTGGTTGGTTGGTTGGTTGGTTGGTTGGTTGGTTGGTTGGTTGGTTGGTTGATGTTTTTTGTAGGGGTCTTGGGGGTGGATTAACAAAGATTAAGAAAATGAGTTAGTAGCTACTTGAAAAAAACGTGCAAAGAGTAACAGGTAAACGAAACTTTGTTCTGGCCCTGTATAACACAGACAGGTAGATACTGTGGCTCAGGAGATCCTGGCACATGAAATGCACCACAGGAGTCCGAGGAACCTTCCCCTCAGAATGGTAAACAAAAGTGCACAGTGCTCTACCTGCGTGGTCTGATGAGTCCCTACGCCTAGAGATTGTGTCGAGTGGAAGAATATCGAGTGTCTTGTACCGGTACTACCCCTGGTGATTGAGGTATACCATCATTGTAAATGAAGTATTAATAGAGGTAGATTTATAGCCTTTCCTCTCTTGACAAAATAAGGAGAATGGTTAGGATCTTGGTGTCTTATTTTGAAACAAAGCTGTTAATTTCTTTAACTTTATCTCCAGATGGACCTGTTACTTCGTCAAAAGAATTAAGTGTTAATTACCTTTGTTTTGATAATATGAACAGAATTTATAATAATGTATTGTAAAAATAAAACATGAGAATAAATTTGAAGGATAGCCAGTTTTCTATAAGGTTTTACTCGTAGAATGCAAATGTACCACAAAGCTCTGGTTCTACCACGCTCTATGTCGTTTAAATTATGTGTGGGTTGGAAATTCACACCCTTGTTAGATCGCCCGTTAAAGACGTACCTCTGACTGCGCTGTGGGATTCCAGTGCATGCTTGTCGTCAACTTCACGCTATGGAGCAAGAGTCCCATCGTAACGCGATAACAGGAAATGTTTAGTGAAAATAATGAGTTTGTTAGGGGAATATTCGAGCCCACAAGACAATTTAAAGCTGGCCCTCTGCAATAAAAATGGCTTAAACTCGGTGTTACAAAAAAAACCCAACTCATAAAATGCACAACGGGAGTCCGAAGATTCTCGTCCTTGTACTGGAGAAGAAGTATACATGGGGATATCTCCGCATAGTCTCACGGCTTTGGGCGATTGCGTTGACTGGAGGAATATCGTGTTTCTTTTCGGAGATATTCTTCCAGTTAGTCATGGCCATTGCTCGTCTAAAGAAGGCATATGATAATTGTTGTTTGATGGCCTTCCCTCCTGGGACAAAATCAGAGATTTGAGGCATATAATGGCTCTGTTTGAGCCTCTACGCCACAAAGCGAATTCAAAGCAGATGAGATCGTTATGCAGTTCTTATATGCAAATGTCGTTTTCGTAGATGATATTACTACCCGTTTCCTAACCGTCTGGAAAAGCCGATTTGCATCTTATGCCCATATAAACGATGTATTCGCCCTAAACTTTGACGTTGAGTAACTTTGCGGAATGCCAAATTACAACACATTTTTTGATTCAAGAAAGGATGCTACTTTAGTTTCACCCTTATTTCGAGGACTATTAACTTCACAGGAAAAAGCTGGTCTTGGATAATTTGGGCTGCTCGTTAGAATCGTCAGCAGTTTTAACCTCTCATACCAAAGTGCTGGGGTCAGTTCCAGGTTCGTGCAAATCGGTCAGTGGATTTCTACTACCGGGGGGGGGGGGGTTCTAAGCTTATCCCCCGCTTATGGTCCAAAAGTACGTCTGTTCTTATAGCTAGTCTCTTCCAATACAGATGAAAAGTTCGGTAGTACAGTGGACATTCTTATAAAACGTGGAAATTATTACCCTAAAAGAAAAGGCCAGCCACATAAGAAAGAATTCTTAATCAAGGTTGGCGCCTAAACCCTGGTCGGAATAAACAGTTGGGGAATTATTGGGGCTGGGAACATTTTAATATGAAACTAGGATACTTGATACTATTTTATATTGATATAACTGTCAGTTCAAGAGCCTACAGTTTACAACATCTGAGATCTCGTGAAAGCAGAAGAACAAGAGCAAAAATAACAACAAGAACAACAAGAACACCAATAACAAGAGTAAAACAACAACAACAATAATAACAATAGCAGCATCGGCAACAACAACAACAGTAGCAGTAGCAGTAACCCTAACAAGAACTACAACAACAGCTAGATTTAATTAAATGAATTAAGAATCCCTTACTTTCTCACGGATGGTGCGTGAGAAATGAACGACACTGCGAGTCTCACACAAGGAAGGTATCAAAGTGAAGGGGGAAAAGTGCAATAAGACACTGTCTGAGGCTTTTCTCATTTTTGAATCAAAATTGCTAATCGACCAGCATCGTAAGCGTTGGCTACAACCTGCCTCTATAATATACCCCAATAAATTTTAATTTATTTGAGCCCTATGTATTGACTTCCAGTGTCAGTGGTGTCAATGTTAGGCTCCTCGTCGTCACATGCGGCAGGTGTCAGTTCAATTCTGGTGTGAGGAGGTTTTCTTGTCGTGTATCTCCATCTGCCTGCTGTGATGTTGCATCCTTCTATGCGCCCTAGGTTGGCCCAGACAGGCAAGGTCGGAGCATCTCACCTTCTAAATGACCAAAATTGTGTCGATAGAGACGGAACAACATGTATCATTCATATTTATTACTCTGTATGTTTCCTAGAAAGTTGAGATTATTTCAGAATCCTATCAGGTTTGCTGGGGTAATGATAAAGACTGTAAAGCACACGCGGCTTCCTGTTGAGCAGGAATTTGCGTTTTTATAAATTATGCTATTTATTATTTTTTATTATTGACTTTATACTCTCTCTCTCCCTCTCTCTCTCTCTCTCTTTCTCTCTCTCTCTCTCTCTCTCTCTCTCTCTCTCTCTCTCTCTCTCTCTCTGGATACATGTAGGTGGACGGCAAAAAAATGTTAGCCTCTTAAATGTGGCAAAAAGAGGTATAGGCTATAAAAAAAAGGTTGACAAGCGCTTGTCTGGTCCTCTGGGCAAACTCGTGTACGGGGGCTCTCGTGGCCTAGAGGTTAAGGTGTTCGCCTCTCATTCAAAGGTCCCGAGTTCGAATCCGGGTAATGACGGAAAAAACTTCTTCTCTAAAATTGTCCCCTTTCATCTTTTTTCCTTCTCACTTGCAATATTCTGTCGTCTGCTTTCGTCTCCACTTTCTTCGCCCACCCCCTCACCCTCTTTGTCCCCTCCACTGGGCTCCTGACTCCTTCTGCAGCTTTTCTACTGCAACAACTCCTTGGCTCATTCTTACTGCTGTCTTTCAGCCACACCC